TGGATGAAATAAGGAAGGCAACACGGTATGTAAAATGGGAATTCAACAAAAGATTGAAATCCTGAAGAAAAACAAACTACAATACTGGAAACTAAAAGTAAAATAGTTTAAGCCAAATTAAAAAAAAAATCTATGGAAAGTCTCAGCAATAGAATGGATTAGGAAGAGACAGACTATATGAGCTTGAAGACAAGGTGGAGGAATTAACAAACTAATGAGGATGAAGGTAAAATAACAAGAAATCACTAGAAGGTTTCCAAGAAATACACAAAATAAAAACACCAAATCCATGGGTAGTATCCATATAAAAAGAAGAAGAATCTAGTTCTAAACAAAAAGAAAAAATTAAGAATCATAACAAAGCTTTCCAGAGGCAGCAAAAGAGATGTGAATCCAAATATACAGAAGGCAGTTAAAACATCAGGCAGAGAAGACTAGAAAAGAACTTCCACAAATAATAATATAAACAAAACACTAAGCAGACAGAACAAAATGTATGTTGAAAGCATCAATACAGATAGACTGAGTCACAAACAAAAGCAGGCTTGTGAGACTATCAGATTATTCAACTGAAAATTTAAAGCCAGAAGGGCTCAAAATGTTATTTTTTTACTACTGAAGGAAACTATTGACTCAGACTGCTTTTCCCAGAAAACCTGTCTGTTATAATTGAAGGAAAAATAAAAATTTCCATGACGAAAATAGACTATAGGATTTATGACCACCAAGACAGCACTACAGAAGATACATGATGGAATGCTTCAAACTGAAGGGGAAAGCAAACCCATCCCATGAGGTCACAGGAAAGAATAAACCATGTTAGGATAATAGTTAAGCAAGAGAGGAAGAAGAAATAAAACAAATACTATAAAATTAACAAAATGGCAATAATCACAGATGGAGAACTACTGCTACAGATCAACAGCAAAAGAAACTCCAGCACATAGAAAAACTAATGTAAATTAAATAACATAAGAAATAAGAAGGAAAATGAAAATACAACATATCAAAGTCTTGGAACAGAATTTTATTGCTGTACAGGGTCCAGAAAATATGTCCTCCCTAACATCATAAGTAGCAGATTTGTAAAAGGGATACCAGCATACTTGAAGAACTCTATCGATGTTCTCGCCCAGATGCCCAACATTACAGTTGGAGCCATGGCTGCTCAACTACATAATTTAAATGACATGGGACTAATTAGATCCTTTAGTAACAAAGGCCAAGTGGCAGCACCGAGTCAACAAAAGCAAGATAAACATTAATGTAATGAGCATTACAGGCAAAGTAATGTTCACAGTGGCCTGACTTGTATAGATCTTTGGCACTAGCTAGTTAATTATTAATCATTATGGTGTTCCTAGAAGGAACAAGTAGGAAGCCTACCAAATTCTTGTTCAATCTGCAAAAGCAGAAAAAATCCTGAACAAATGAACCACAGCTATCTTGGATCACAAAAACAAAGAACCATGGCCCTTCAATCAGTTTCCAGACTTGAATCAGTTTAGAGACAAAACCCCTCAAATAAAGATTGATTCTACTGAAGAAGGACCTGGTTGCAACTGCAAACATCAAACAAAAAAGTACTAATGACTCTTTCTCCCATCCTTCCCCCAAAGGAACTTATGGCTTTCTGCTAGTACAACTGTACACTGGAGAAAAGGAAATAATCATACCATTTAGGGCCTATTAGATACCATCTCTGAATTAATTCTTGGAGACCCCACTATTGTAGCCCTCCAGTTGAAGTGGGGGCTTTATGAAGGTCAGGTGACCAATGAAGTTTTAGCCAAATTCTGAACCATAGCAGTCCAGTGGGTTCCTGAACTCACTCTTAATGTATTTCATTCCCAGAATGCATAATTGGAATAGATATACTTAGAAGTTGGCAAATGTTTACATTCATTCCCTGATCTGTGGAGTGAGGGACATTATGGTTGCAAAGGCTAAATAGAAGCCATGGAGGGATGCTCCCTTAACCTAGAGACATGAGGGAGGGCCTAGGCCCTACTCCAAATGACTTGATAGATTTTAATGATCCCTCACTGTGGAGTGGGTGGGGAATGTGATGGAAGGAGGGATTGGGGAGGCATAGGAGGATGGGAGGGAGAGGGAACTGGGGTGGATGTGTAAAATAAGAAATAATAATAATAATAAAATGAAAAAATGACCTGGTGTTCTACACCAGCATTTTCAAAGTAAAGTTTTAAAAACAAACAAAAAATAAGCCATTTATACACCCATACCAGGAAAAATAGTGGACCAAAAACATTTTCACATACCTGAAAATGATTACTCCACCATCAGGGTTTTAAGAGATGACTGCACTACATATACCTCTACCTTTCCTATTAGGCCTGTGCAGAAGATGGATATATCATGAAGAATGGCAGTTGACTATTGCAAATTTATTCAAGCACTGACTCCAATCAGCTGTTGGACTGGGGTATGGTTTCCTTGCTTGAGCAGAGAGTTACATATCTCCTAGTACCATGTATGCAACAATTGATTGTGCAAATACTTTTTATCATCATTCTTGCCAATAAAGACTCCCAGAAGTAATATGATTTCACCTGACAAGGACAGATGTATACCCTTATAGTTCTACTTCAAAAATCTATTATCTACCTCTATGTCATAAGTTAGTTTGAATAGATCTTGATTGCTTGTCTCTGATACAAGATATTATATTGCTCCATTATACTCATGACATCATGATGATTTGATGATGCAAACAGGAATCAACAACCATTCATGACTTATTGGTAAAGAATATGTATGAAAAGATAAATAAATACAATCAAAACTCAAGAGCCTTCTAGCTCTAGGAATTCAATGGTATAAGACTCACAGAGAAATAAATCCTTTCTTAGGTGAAAAACAAGTAGTTGCATCCTTCCCTTTCTACCATCAAGAAAGACACACAAGGCTTGGTGGGCCTATTTGGATTCTGAAGGAAGTACATTCATCACTTGATATGTTACTCTAACCCATACAGCAAATGAGTTGGAAAGTTGTTAGTTTTGAGTAGACTCTAAACCAATACAAGGCTTTTCACCAGGTCCAGGCTGCTATATGGGCAGTTGTCCCCCTTGGATCACAAGATATAGCAGGTTCAATTGTATTTTAGTTGTCAATGGCAGAGAGTAATGCTGTTTGGATCTTTGGCAAGCTTCTATAGGTGAATCACAGAAGAGGCCCTTAGAATTTTATAGCAATAAAGCTCAAGTTGATGTCTTTAAAAAAAATTAAAGTTGAAACTTGGTTCCTAACCAAATGGATACAAATCCATTAAAGTTGAAAAGCTTGGTAATAACAAATAAGATTTATCTCACATGTTGCAGCCCACTACATTTGCATCAGGAAATAAAAGATAATAATTAGTGGGTGCAACAAGAACTCTTCTATGCCTTTAATACAATATTAGCTCAATTCTAAGCACCATGGCAAGAAGTTAGGGTACTAATCCTACTTTACTGATGAGAACATTGAGACACAAAGAGATAGATCATTTACATAGCTTGAAAGGAAATGAGGCAGAATTCAAATCTCTTGTTAAGATGCATACCCTTAACTACTGTGCAATACTACCCTAGATGAAAAACATGCTGATATCAGATCTGGAAATGTTGGACATCTGGAAAAAAAAACAGTGAAAGCCTGGTTTCTCTGAAGGTTGTGATCTCATGTTCAAATGTTAGCTTTCCCGCTCATGTTAAAAGAACAACCAAAAAAAATTCCTAAAATGAGTATTAAATTTAACAGAGTTTATTTCTAAATAGAATGATGCATATATCAGGAAACACTGAGAACTAGGTGATTCAAGGGACTCCACACAACAATCTTATAAACAGCAAGATGATATCACATCCAGAGGATGACCATCTAATCAATTGGCAGCCTAAGATTGGCTGAAGTTTGGGTGATGTATCATTATATATCACAGTAACATAGCAAAAAGATTATTTAATAAATTAAATTGCAATTTACTACATATATGATGGTCAAATTTAACATTAGCTAAGTGATCATTAAGATATCATTTACATCCCATACCACTCAATCATCTTCCATAGCAATGAGGATTCTTTAAAAAAAAAGCAAACAAACAAAAAACCACATTTATTTAGTTACAAGTGGTACATACATTTAATCTCAGCACTCAAGAAGCAAAAGCAGGGTATTTCTGAGTTCAAGGCCACCTGATCTGCTGAGTAAGTTCCAGGATAGCCAGGGTTACACAGAGAAACCCTGTCTCAAAAACCCAAACAAAAACCATTTGTTTGTTTGCATGTGTATGATCATGCACATACCACATATACATATGGAAGTCAGGGTACAATTTATGGGCATTAGTTCTCTCTTTCCATCATGTGAATCCTATGATTGAACTCAGATACTCTTGATAGCAAATACCTTTACTACCTGAGCCATCTCACTGGCCCAAAAATAAAAATTCTAATACTTCATCTACACAAAAATATGTGAGTCTTTGAGGGTAAAAGTATAAGTATAGTAACACATGTCCATAATCTGGTGCCAAAAGATCTCAATCTATAACACTAGGACTTTAATTACATGCAACAAATAGGAAATTATTGAAGCACTATGCTTACTAAATACAGTCAACTCAAATATACATACAAGCAATACTTAATGGTTTCAGCGTGTTGCCTTTATACATTTATTAGCATATTTATGTGTGTAATAATAATGATAATTAAAGAAAAAGAGGAAATTAATTTGAGAGGAAGTAAGGAGAGGACATGAGAAGGGTCGAAAGAAGGAGTGATGATATAATTGTATTTTAATTAGAATTTGAAAGTCAAAAACACCAGTGGAAAAAAAAGCCACATCCAAAAAAGTCAACTCAAATTACTAAATAGGATTTGTAGCCACAACTTATAGACTGGCAATAAAACAAAGTTTTAAGACCCTTCCCCAGGTATCTGAATCCCTAATAAGAACCCAAGCACAAAATACCACAGCACTTACTGTACCTCTTTGACGATCCTCACCCCTCTTGGATCCTTGATGTTAACAGCTATACTCTAAAAATCAAAGTGTATATATTAAAATGTTTTCATAAACCTTTTCATTATTGCTGGTAGTTCAGCAACAGAGCCATTCATATCATACAAATTATCACTGTAAAGACAGCTTGGCTTCTAAAGGGACAAATCTTAAGTCATCTTTATTGACTTCATTTACAATCAGAATATGTACCAAACAGCAAGAACCACAGTAAATACTTTTCAGTAGTAATAGTGTGTAATACCAATATAAAAGCATTAAATATAAAGAACCAAATTATTTGTCTCTCACATAATATTTTCATCATGAATTCTCAGAATTTTTTAAATTATTTAGTAGAGGAGAAATAGTAATACAAACTCTATTGCTTAACTTTGATCATGGAGATTTGAAATATTAGTTACATATCAAAAAGCAAGCCATGATATCAAAAGTTTTTAACTGCCAAGAGAATTACAGAAATAAACAAAAACAGGAAATAGTCTTACTTTTTTATTTCGATTAACACTAAGAAAATATGTACTTTCTGTGTTCACAAAAGGAGGTCCCCAAGTTCGTGTGTCATCACCAGCTCCTATAAATGATAACATGATCTATTAATTACAAAACAACAAGCTTACTCCTGTGCATACTCACAAGTACCTGAAAAAGTTCAACTCATCCTAAGGGATCCTTACCCTTTGGGGGATTCTGTAGCTCAACAGTACTCCCCAGATCTCAACTTTCTAATGCCAACTGCCAAATCATTCCATATTCACTTTAACTAACTTGTAGTATTGAAGGTCAAAATCCAAAAGGGAGTATTCTATCTGTGGACTTAGAGTTGAGAAACAACAAACTTAGGGAGCATGTTTCAGTTTTTGGCAAGCATGTTAATCAGTTCCTTCATTGTTTCTTGATATTGAGTGTGAAATGAAAATATGGAGTAAACCAAAGATGTGTGTTATATATTATTTAAATCTGAATAATAATGTGAATTTATATGCTAAATTAGAATAAAGGGCTGAGCTACAACGATGACTAATAATCTATAAAATATTTCTGTAAAATCAGAAAAGCCTTTATGGCAGGCCCGTTGCCCTAGGTCTGTCATAGTGTAGCATGCTAGAACAACCCGAGACCCAAACCATTGCCTGACCTCTGCCTATAGGCCACTGGCACTGAAGTGAGTTGCACAATAAAAATAATCAGAAAAGCCTAAACAGAGGATGGATCAATAGCTCTGAAGTAAGTGATGTGTTTACTGCTCAAGCATAAAGACCACAGTCCAAATCCCCTGGACCCATATAAAATTAAGGTGGCTGTGGCAGTCTGCCTTTATTCCCAGTGCCTATTAGGTATAGAGAATCCACAGAGCAATATAAATACAAATATTAACTTGTTTACCAACTAAAATGAAAAGAATTAGAATGGATGTTCTATCTAGGAACAAAAGCAGTGGTTTAAACTGAGGCCTGTAATCTCAACACTGAGGATGCTGTGGCAGAAAGATCATCAGTTCAATACCAGCATGCACTACCTAGCAACAAGTCTCTGCCTCTCGGTCTCTGTCTTTCTGTGTGTCTATCTGTGTGTGTCTCTCTCTCTGTCTCTGTCACTGTGTCTCTCTGTGTGTCTCATTGTCTGTCTCTGTCTCTCTATTTCTCTCTCTCAAAAAAAAAAGAATCAAGAATAGGTATGAACTGGGTGGCACAAGCCTTTAATCTCAGCACTTGGGAGGCAGAAGCAGATAGATCTCTGTGAGTTTGAGACCAGCCTGGTCTACAAAGAAACAAAGAAAGTTTCAGGACATCCAGGGCTGTTACACTGAGAAGCCCCTCTCTCAAAAAAAAAAAAGTAGAAGAGGAGGGAAGGAAGGAAGGAAGGAAGGAAGGAAGGAAGGAAGAGGGGAAGAGGAAAGTATAGCATTGAAATAGGACTGGAATAAGGAAGTTATAACTTTATAGAACCTGGAGTGGGAAGTTGGAAGTTCAGCATCCCCCAGCACATCCAGCAAAGACAAAACATGGTGTATATCAGTGACTGGGTGGTTGAAGTGCAGCCTCTGGAAAGCAGCACTTGATAAGCACTTCTGCCAGTCAAGATTGACAAGCCCAGGCTCAATAAATGTAATAATAATATTCACCTTGGTGCTAATGAGAATCTTTGTTAACTGCTTTAGGCTCTTAGGAAAATCTATTTAGAAGGAAAATTAATCTCCCAAGTATTCTACTTTGAAGGTTTTATCATTTATTGTAAATTAATAAGTGCATGCTATTATAAATTATTATCTTTTGAGTCTTATGGTTAAATAGCTACTATGGAATTGGACTAGACCATTCTTACTGATTTGAGGATTCAGCCCTAGGTCCTTAAGGATTAGATCTTTAAAAACAAATGGTAATGTGATTTTGTAGTTGTTTTTTGAGACATGTTCTTATTTGAGACATGGAAACATGTCATATCCTCGAACTGGAGTCTGAGTCTTTAAGGCTCCAGGCCAATCTGGGGTAGGTAAAGAGATGATATAAATAAATTTTTTAGAAAGTAAAAAATTACAAAGAATGTATCTAAAATTAGCATTTTCCCCTCAAAGTTTTATGACAGCAAAATGGCCAAATATTTCTTTTATTTGAAAACAATGACTTAGGTTGGGGTATTTGGATCTCCTGTTGAAGAACTTTGATTCTTTTTCCTTCTCTCTATCTGTATCCTATTTCCTCCTTTTTCTGCTCCTTTGCCCTTCAGTCCAAAGTCAGTAGTATACAGTCACACTCATGGGACCACTCATATGGGCTTTGGAGCTTCAGGATCAGAACTGAGCACTTGTACGCTCCTTATTAAATGTGTGAGCCTTGAATACATTACCTGACTTCTTGATGCCTTTATTTTCTCACTGGTACATTAGAACTAACTCAGCAACACATAGAGTTGTTGCAAAGATTAAACTAATATCAGTGGAGGACTTAGAGCTTTGCCTAGCACTACGGTGATGCTATCAGCATTGTAATTACCTATCATAACAGAACTTCACAGTATATGAGAAGGAACTGGCTTGAGCCTGTCCTACATACATAAAAATAAAACATAGCTAACAAAAAAGATAGAGAATGGAGAAAAATGCCTCATTTCCATCATTTCTCCACTCAATTTATGGGTACACTAATCCAGGATTATTTAAAGAACATTTATTAGCCTGACCACTTTTTAAAGATAAATAGATTTACCTGGTCTTTCCACCTTAATAACTTCTGCTCCAAGGTCGCCTAAATTCATCGTAGCAAAAGGTCCTGCCAGTACTCTATAATGTTAAAGAGTGATAATAAATGATCATCTTAAAAATCTATGTATTAACTATTTAAAATCAATTAACACAAAGAAGCTCATATAATTCTAGCAATGATCAAACTTGCTAAAATCGTAATTTTTCAATATTTATCAAGAGCTTTAAAAATTTATAATCCCCTTGATGCAGGAACTTTATTTCTAGAATTCTATCCAGAGAAAGAAATTGAAACTAAAGCAAAAATCTGCATATAAAAAGGCCTTATTCAGGCAACTGGGTGACATTTATAAGTCATCTTTGATTAACTTTAATGAGCATAGAAAACTATTCAAAATATGTTGGTACATTTAAAATATAGGTAAAATCATAATTAAATATAGTTCCAATTTGAAGAACAGTTAATTATATGCAAATATGTATTCATAATTCATAATTCTATACTTATTGTTTGAAACTATACTCCAGAATTTCTTTTCTATCTATTCACAAAAATTTTAACATAAGCATGTAAATATCTCTTTATACTCTAACAACTAATAAAGACTTTCCAAAAAGAGGAGGGAAACTCGGTCACTAAATTGCAGGTAATCCAGCACAAACCTTGTTAGATCCAGAATTCTTACACCCTCCAGTGGCTTCATACTATCAGTATCTGGCAAAACAGATAATATTAAAGAGATTACAATTTTCAAAATAAACAATGCATAATTCTTCATATTCTTTTATTGTTTGTTCTTTTTTTTTTTTTTTTCCAAGACAGGATTTCTCTCTGTAGCTTTGGAGTCTATCCTGGAGCTCACTCTGTAGACCAGGCTCTGCCAACACTGCCCAACCCAATTCTTTATATTCTAAGTAACTTGTTATCAAAAGCGATTTTTCTTCCCAATAATTCTGTTTGATGTGTAACACAGAAACGTTACCCTGTCTCATTAAAAAAAAAAAGTCTACAGGAGTCTGATGGACTAATACGGAAAGGATTTACAACCTTTCTCCTCTGTAGGCCAGAAACACAGGGACCAGGAACTGGGAAGGCTGCAAAGATTGGAGGTTGCCACTAAAGCCTCCCCACTGAATACCAAATGGAGCCTGCTGGAGCCAGAGGGATGTGACAACCTCACCTTTCCAACTAGCACAACTGTGCCCTGAAGTATTCTGATTTTTTTTTCCTGCTATTTAATTCCCACCCTTACCTGTATGTTCCCTGATGGTTTTGATTCTGATTGCTCAGTCAGGTTTCTAGACTGTTCTGTGTATTTCTCTTTCCGCCCTTTTATTGTGTACTTTCTACTTATAGTTTTCACCTGCCTCTCATATACTCCTCTCTTATTCTTATCTTCCCCCCCCCCACCAGCCTTATCCTCTCTTTTTATTTCTTGATTACACTAATCCTAGCTTTACCAATCTCTACAATCTGTGGGTCCTAACAGTATTTGGCTTTCTCCTCCCAATTTGCGGCCCACTATATCAATTATTTTTATTTTAAAAGTTGATCTAAATCTAATGCATATCCCTATCTTTACTTACCTACTTCCCTTTCATGCCTAATCTTAGTTACTAAAAATTAATGTATGCCCTTCTATCCATGTTTGTTTATCCTTCAACACTTACTGAAGTCAAAGGGACTATACTGGCTGGTTCTGTGTCAACTTGACACAAGATAGAGTCATCCAAGAGGAAGGAACCTCAGTTGAGAAAATGCCTCCATGAGCTGTAATGCATTTTCTCAATTAGTGATCAATGGGAGAGGGCCCAACCCGTTGAGGGTGGTGCCATCTCTGGGCTAGTGGTCCTAGACTCTCTAAGAAAACACGCTGAAAAAGCCAGGGAAAGAAAATGGGTAAGCAGCATCCCTCCATGGCTTCTGCATTAGCTTCTGCTTCCAGGATCCTGTTCTGATTGAGTTCCTATCCTGACTTCCTTCAATAATGAACAGAAAAATGGAAATGTAAGCCAAACAAATCCTTTCCTCTCCCAACTTGCTTTTTGGTCATGGTGGTTGGCATAGCAAAAGAGACACTAAGACTGGGACCACAACTGCTAACTGGCTAACACAGCATTTAAATAGAACAACTGGATACAGAAAAATCCCTCACTGAAACTCTCTTCCAAAGTTATTATTAACTGCCGGTTAAAACTAACCACTGGGATTGGTAACATGGCTCAGCTACTAAAGGCAGTTACTTCCAACCCTGACACCCTGAATTCCATACCTGGAACACATGGAGTAGAAGAAAACCAACTCCCACAAGTTGCCTACTGACCTACAGACATTCATTAAGGACACACACACCTTTTGACACACACACACACACCAATAAAATAACCAGTTTTGGGAAGAGTTGGTGAAGGGGGGGGCATGTTTAAAATATATAAAAAAATTAAATCCAGCCTATAGTGGTGTGGTCAAAATAGTGGTTACCAGCTAGGCAGTGGTGGCACCCACCTTTAATACCACTACTTATGAGGCAAAGGCAGGCTGATCTCTGTGAGTTTAGAGGCCAGTTTGGTCTACAAATCAAGTTAGAAGACAACTAAGGGCTGTTACACAGAAAAGCCCTGTTTTTAACAACAACAAAATACCCAAACATATCACTGTAAAATCTGAAAAATAAACATTTTTCTAACAGAAAAGGGTATTGGATCCCCTGGAAATGGAATTATTGAAGTTTGTGAGCAGCCCAATGTGTGTACTGGGAACTGAACTCTGGTCCTCTGCAAGACCTGTAAACAGTCTTAACCACAGGGCATCCCTCCATCTTCAAATATCAGATTTCTCAATAACATCACTAGAAGCTAAAATGAAGCAAAACATCTTCTTTTTAAAGTGAGTGTACAGTAATGTCTTCCCTAAGTTCTAAATCCAATAAAATACAAAGCATTGTGAAAGTAGAAAAATACTGAAAGCCTTTACCTCCTTTCTTACCTTGCCGCTAGGTGTCACCCTTCAACAAGATGATGAGTAACAAATAAACAAGTACAGTGGATTATTTATACAAAGAATGAGAGCATTAGAAGGGATGCATGCTGAAGATCAAAATGAGATGCAAATGACTTGGGATACTTAAAATGTAGCCCGAAAAAAACTGTTAAGCAGAGCTCAGACATACGGACAGCTGAACCTTTGAACTGGGCTGCAGACACAATACACCACCCTGTGTGAACTGACTTTTGGAATACTGTTAAATCTGATGGGCCCTGTCACCCAAACTATTCAGAGATATCACATCCAATCCTATTTTACAAGATGACGTTTTATCATCATCTGCCATAATTTCTGACTAACAACTGATATTATTCCTATCGAACCACATTGTAATTTAAAATTATAAACACATGAAAGCTGTCCCAGGAAAAAATAGCAGAAACTGCAAGGGAACTGCTGCTCCTCAAGAGATCTCATATGAACAGGGTAACTTAAGTTATAAGAGCTATTTGGGAACAAGCCTAAGCAAAGACCAAGCTTTCATACTTAATGAAAAGTCTTCATGTCATTATTTGGGAGCTATTGGTCCAAAAAAAGTGGACACATCTCCTCATTATCAGGGAAAGAAACAGAAAATTATTAAATTTATTTTAAAATTCATTTTAATGAGTACATGACTAAGAACTATCAGTAAAATTATGGGGTTGTGGAAGGATAATTAGGCTAAGAGATTATACAATATACTATATAGATATAAGAGCAGACAATGAAGATGGGCAGTGGTGGCACATGCCTTTAATCCTAGCACTGGGGAGGCAGAGGCAGACAAATCTGAGTTTGAAGCCAGTCTGGTCTACAGAATGAGTTCCAGAACATCCAGAGGTACAAAGATAAACCCTGTCTCAAAACAAGTAAGCAAACAAGTTAATAATCTAAGAATAGGGAAACAAGTATAATAGAAAAATAGATATTATTACACAATGAAAAATTCAAATTTTAAATTATTTATGTGGTAAAATTTTATTTCAAGGTGTACGGCTTTTGTTTATGCTGCATTTGTTTAACTCCATGAAGCTGTGGTTCTTTGCCTGTCTAAAACACTTGATGGTCCTAATAAAGAGCTGAACGGTCATTAGGGAAACAGGAGCATGGATAGGTGGGGCTGGCAGACAGAGTATAAATAGAAGGAAAATGAAGGAAAGAGAGGAGCAACATGAGAACGAGGAGAGGAGGATGTCAGGGGCCAGCCACTCAGCCACCCAGCCAGCCATGGAGGAAAAAGGAAAGTAAGAAAGATAAAGGCATAGAGGGAAAAGGTAGAGGGGATAATATAAGGTAAGAAAAGCTGGCTAGAAACAAACAAAGCTAAGGCCAGGAACTCATAACCAAGAATAAGCTTCCATGTGATTTATTTGGGAGCTGGGTGGCGGGTCCCTCCCCCCCCAAAAAAAACCAAAGAGACAAAAGGGTAAAATACCAACATTACATAGTTAAGATATAGTTGGGAAAACACTATACACTTAGAAAAAAAGGGACTGCCATCTGTGTCTTCTCTTATTAAAGTCTAGGTAGACTCAAGAACTAAACATAAAAAAAAATGTAAATAGTTAAGGTACTAAAAAAAAAGATGAAAGGAAATAAAGGAAATACACTTTTGTTCAAGGAAAGCTTTTCTTTATCAAAAACAAAAAAAAGAAATAAAATTAAGAGGATAAAAGACTGAAACTCAAACAACAATAAAGGGACTAGTTCACAGTTGCAACACAAAGTTTGGTAGGTACATAGCTTGGTACAGTAAAAGATACGGGAAATAAAATTAGAAGATAAATGAAACAGTACACAGATAAAAAGCATTATACAGAATAAAACAAAAATTATTTCCACAACAGAACTTAGACACAAGAAATAAAGAAACTAATCCCAAGGGGAAACTAACAATTCAGATACAATTTTCCTGTAGCATAACAAAAATATCATGAGCAATTTCCTTTATAACAAAAAAGATACATATTATATTACTTTTCCTCATCAGTTTGGAACATTTGGAAAGTTGACAAGCGTATGTATGATTAAGTGGATACTTTCATATCTTTGGAAATGATAATCAATAATCTTTTATGAAAACAACCTGGCAGTTTCTATAAAACTTCAAAATACTATTATTCTACAATTAGTCTTTTCTGTTTACAGAATTCAACTCACTCTCAAAAAAAACCTCTATAGCACACACCTTTAATTCCAGAACTTGGGAAGCAGAGGCAGGTGAGTCTCTGTAAGGTCAAGGCAAGCCTGTTTAGCAAGCTCCAGGTCAGACAGGATTACACAGTGAGACCCTTTTTCAAAAACAAACAAAACAGAAATCATTCTTCAAGTATGCTAAGAGATGGGTGTAAATTCATCCACTGTGGAGGCCCTGGGGAGATGGCTCAGTTGGTGAAGTGCTTGCTTTATAAGCATAAGGAACTGAGTTAAATAACTAAGACCCACTTTAAGTTGACCATGGTGCCATGTACTTGTGATCCTAGCACCAGACTGTAAGTGGAAATGGGAAAAGTCTATGAAGATCACTAAAAAGCCAGTCCAGCCTACTTGGTAAATTCCAAGCAAGGGCATCTAGAGACTTGATCTCAAAAAAAAAAAAAAAAAGGACAGAACCTTAGGCTGTTCTCTGGTTTCCATGCTCAATTACATCGATTACATATGCATGAACACACACACACACACACACA